CTGCACTGACTTGTTCTGAAATCAGCATTGTCCCTTGCTCAAGCCCCAGATTCTTGGTCATCATCCTTTTCACATATCTCTTGATCACAGGAGTAGTCCTTATAGCATCAATCAAAGGGATCTCCACCACAAGTTTATCCATGATAGCTTTGATCCTAGCATCCTCCAGCTCTTGTTTAGACTTCTTCTGTTTCCTTGGGTAAGACACATTTGGCTTGTAAACCTTTTCTTCTGCATTTTCTGGAGTCTGAAAAATCGAAGTCTGCTTCTGTGGGCAACGGCGCCAAAATTTGATATGCTCAAATTAACCCTTAGAGCTACTTCCTCAAATTAAGAGATCACGGTAGTACTTAGGGATCGAATCCACAAGGACTTAAGACTATTACTCAACAGACTTTAGATTCAAATATAGCTAAGCAAATCGATAGCAAATAAAACAAAATGGTAAATAAAATTATCAAGAGCAGGTGCGGATTATAGGTTCTTAAAATCAATGAGACAAGGCGCTAGGCAATGGTAAATTCGCAGGTTGACATAAATCGCAGACTACGGACTGAAAGGATTATTTGTTAAAATCGTTCTAGAACTCGAAAACACGAATGTAAAACCAATCGACTTCCGTCGCAAAGATTAACTATGATCAGATTCTAGAATTCCAAATTCCTTTACAAATTCTAACAACCTAAGCAAGCATTATGGTTGAGGTTCGATATGTTCACAAAATCACTAATCCAAATTCCTTTGCAATTAGTTATTTTGCTCATCTAAGATAGTTCTGGTGATTAATAATGTTTCCACATCTATTAAACAACCTAAGATCTGATTTCTAGGTGATCAATCTCAAAACCAGCGTTAAAGCAATCTAGATGAAGAACCAAATGATTTATCCTTCCAGTTTTGCAGTTCTAACAATTCATTATCAACCTTTGAATAACCCAAAACCTAACTAGCAGATTACTCAGACATATAAATTGAAACACAAATCATGACTGAATAATATTGCATAAAAAGACAGAGTAAAAGACGAAGGGGTTTCGAAAATCTTCTCTAACAGAGTACGGATTTGTCTCCCCAAAAGCTCTGAATCTAATCTCTCTCTTAGTCTCAATGAAAACCAGATGAATGCCTAACAATGGCTTTCAAAACCTAAATACAACTCTAAACACGACTGGGGCAAGTTTACAAATAGTAGAAAACTTATGGGCCAAGTTGTAATCTTTTAAAAAGAGTTTTTAAGGCTCCTTTTCGCGTCTGCGATCGGTGTTGATCAACACCGGGTGGCTGGTGTCGATTGACACCATACTCCAGAATGCTCTCTGACTTGGTCTTTTCAGCATCAGCTACAACATAGCTCCAAAAGGCTCCAAAACTCACAGTTATGCTCCAAACGTACCTAGACCTACAAAGACTCTAAAGGACTCGAAAAATACCAAAACGACTCTATAAACAAGACATCTATCATGGTCAAAAACCAGTAAAAACCATGATATATCACTGTTACTACATGCCAAGTTTTCAATCAATCTGATTGCTTCTTCTGGTCTGTTTGTGTTGAAGTTGCCACTGCTTGAAGCATCCAATGCTATCTGGTATTTCCAGTCAATGCCTTTGAAGAAGATACAAAGCAAATGCACTTGGTTGAAACCATGATGAGGACAATACCTTTGATAAGACTTGAATCTCAGCCAATAAGCTTTAAAGCTTTAGTACGACCTTGGGAAAATGGAGCAATTTTTGTCCTCAGGTCTTCTGATCTAGCATCATCATAGAATTTTTTCAGAAAAACATTCTTGGTGTCCTCCCAAGTGGTCAGCGAACCAGGCTCTAGTTGCTTCAGCCAATAAGCAGCATCTCCTCCAAGTGAGTAAGGAAACAGCTAGAACATGAAATCATTGCTAACTTAATTAGCTTTGACACTGGAAGTCAAATCCTCAAACCTCTCAATATGATCCATAGGATGCTCATGAGGTAAGCCATGGAAAGGATGCTGTCCCACAAGCTGAAAGTAAGCAGGCTTCAGCTCCAAATCGTTCCTCTGAAAAGCAGGAGGGCGGATTGCAGCTCTGTTGGCATAAAACTGATCAGGTCTGTTGTAATCTCCAAGAGTTCGCTGCACAAAACGTCCAGCAGCTTTTACAGATTCCTCTGGTACTTGCTGAATCACCTGTTCAGGTATGACATTCTCATTCTAATCCAGCCTCCACCCTTGTTCATTCCTTATGTTTCCATCTCTGTCAACAAAGTGACCCTCTGCATTTTCGACCAAGACAAGTGGAGCAACCATTGTAGACTGTTTCTTAGCTTTCCTTATTTCCTTTCCAACTTAGATAGCTCGTCAATACCTAAAGTCAAAAGCTCTTTCTCTTTGTTGCTTCTGGTACTGCGATTAGGCATACACCTGAAACAGACATAAGAAAAGTAGCAAAGTTAGTAAACAAATAAAATCTTAGTCAAAGTCATAATACTAAAAATCGTTAGGTAGCTATTACTCCCCGGAAACAGCGCGAAAAACTTGATAGGCTCAGGTTTTACCCAAATAAAACTACTGCAAGTGCACAGCAATGCAGTTATAGTATAAAGGGTTATCGAATCCCAAGGGAGTATGTAAACTACAGTAGCGATTATAGATTCGGATTAAGCTAAGCGATAATAAATGAATGTAATGCAAAATAGTTAAATAAATGCAAGAGGGCGTTTTTATGATTGTTCTTAAAGTTCAGAAAGCTAAAGGCTCTAAGTCAGGACAATTCGCAGGTTGAATCCGAGAGTGTAGAATGCATGCAATCAGGAATGAAGTAAAACCGTCTTGAACAAGAAACACAAAGATATAACTAATCAATTCTCATTGCAGAAGTTATCTATGTCTAAATCACAGAGTTTCAAATATCTTTGCAAACTCTAACAACCTAAACATGCAATAATGATCAGGTTCAATTGTTCACAAAACTCCTAAGCCAAATCTCTTTGCAAATAGGCATTTTGCTCATCTAATACTAGTTCAGGTGATCAATTATTTTCTCACATCTATTAAACAACATAGGGTTTCAAAATCCAGATGATGTGTCTAAGATATCGATGTGAATGCAAGTATAGATGAAGAACCAATAAATTTCCTATCAGTTTAGTAATTCTACAAACTCTTTATCAACCTTTGAAAAGTCTTAACTTAACTAACAAACTACTCAGACATGGTGAATGAAACAAACATTGAAAGGAATAGATTGCATAAAAGAAATAAGAAATAAAGATAAAGGAGTTCGAAATCTGCTCTGAAGGAGTCTGATTTGTCTCTCCAAAAGCTCTGCTACCAATCTCTCTCTAAAGCTCTCTAGAAAAATAAGATACATGGTCTAAGATAAAAGCCAATAATGGCTGAAAACCTAATATATACAGGCTAAAATGAATCGGGGTTTTTGTAATTAATAAAACTTCTGGGCCAAAACTGTAATTTTTTCTCCATCTTTTAATAAGGCTTCGCGATTCCTCTCAGATGTGGATGATGAGCGTCACCCATAAGTGGTGACGATCGTCACCAGTACAATGCAATGCCTTCTGAGTTGCTAACTTCGTGGTTGATTCTTGCAATGATCCAAAAAGCTCCAAAACCTCCAATTATGCTCCAGACATGCTATAACCTATAAAGACTCTACTAGGACTCTAAAAAGACCAAAAGAACTCAATAAAAGAACTTATACCATGGTTAAAAACGATAAAAACCATGATATATGCTAAAGAATTATGCATTGTTGATTATTTGAACATCACATGTGAAGCTTAGGATTATCTTGGATCAATAACTCCCATCTATGAACTCTGCTTCCTATAAATTCGAATTTGCTTGATCATTTGCTCAGCTTTTACTATGTTTTTCCCTGTTTCTTATGTTTGAATTGCTAAGTTACTTGTCCTTTATTTTGCTTTAATGTTTACTCATGCTTGTTTGATGATTCACTTAAGGTGTTAGCATATTACAAACCCATTCATTGATTGGCTTAGCTTGTATGACAATCATATGTTCTCATTGTTTAAAGTTCCCTGATTAGATTGATATCTAAAGTCTACAATGATATGATCTAGGATCTAAGAAATTGAATCACAAGAGACTAAAACCTCTTTTATTAAGAAACTTGGGTATTCCAAACCGACCCTCCAGTTCGGGCATGATCCGGTCCTTTGAACGAAGTCTAATTTAAAATATGTACCAGTTGGAAATATGTACAAATAGTTTGGTCGAAAACCATTTGTACCGGTTGGAGTTTGTCAATAATAAATGTGGATGGATAATTTCGAATGAGACAAATGTTATTTGCTATGCAGAGAGAAAGAGATTTACCCATTTGACATATTAAAATTCAAAAAAACTCACTTTTCTAATTAAAAACTCAAAAAATATTTATGCACTAAGTTTTTGTATGAAAAACAATATCTTTCCTCTCTTTTTTTTATAAAAATTTTCCATTATTTTTATTAATAGATATTCCTCTGGATATTTTTGATATGATTGCCTTATCACACCTTATTTAATGCTTATCAGGATAGGTTTAATAAATATTTTGTTGAATGGGCTTGTATGCTAACATGAAGCTTTTTGATTGGCCTTTCGAAAATTAGTCCTAACAAACATATATAATGATTTAAATTAGTAATTATACATTCAAGAATATAATTATCGTATGTGATCATATGAATGCATCTTAAATAATATTCTTCTATATATGTAGATTTTATTATACAATATGAATAACACATTAAAAGCAATTTCAAATCTTGAGAATGTCGAGAAAATGTGCGACTACTGAAACATTATATATCTCCCAAAGTTCAAGAATAAGGGAAAAGACATACATAGTCGGAAGGCAGAAAAGTGGGAAGAGATGCAAATAAAATAGGAGAGAAGAATCACACCGTTGCCTTCCTGGATTCAACTTTTCCAAACTTCATGGGCTTTTATTTTAGCAATTATCTTCCAAAATTTCCAGCGTTTATCTATTCCTACATAATAATAAATAAATATTCCATTTTTTATAAAAGTTTTGTCAAATATTTAATTTTCCTTCTTCTCTCCTCAGCGTTTTCCAACCAAATAAAAGGTGGGCAAAGGTGGTGGATGCATGAGCCTTAAACACCACCACACCCCAACACAATAAACTCGTCTCTTCTCTTTATTTTTTTTTTTTATTTGTGGTTTCATCGGTTCAATAATCCAAAAACAATATCCAGAACTATATAAGACCTTGTTGTCACTTACTACCTCTTCCTTTTCTTTCTTAAAGGTATCTCAATTGTTCCCTTCTTGGCTCAAATTTTCCGTTTTTCTTGTTGAAAAATCTTTCCGGTCTTTGTTTTTTTCTCCTCAAGCTTTGATTTTGATGCAATGAGTTTTCTGCTGTTGAATTTGTGTGGGTCTGTTTGGTTTAGTGTTTTTTTTTTCATGTCGGTAGTTGATTTTGTTTCTGGAGAGACTAATCCTGAAAATTTGGCTTCTTGTGTTTGTTCTCTTCTAAGATTAGTCTCTTCTTGAGACCTTTTCTTTTCGCCGCGTTGTGTTACTGTTTGGGAATCCATGTAAAAGGTGGTGGTGGTTGGTTTGGTTTCTCATTGAAGCGTTGACTTGATTTAGAAAAAAAGTCTTCGGCTATTATAAAGTGACTTCCTTTCTCATTGATAAGTCTAATTTCCACTTTTCACCCACAATTCAATCATAACTTAAAACTGCAATCGAACAGAGATTCAATTGATTCATAACTTGATACGTTTGATGATAGCTCATTTGGCTTTTGGATCTAGTTGTTAACTTTTACAGTTTGTGGTCTCAGAGTTGCCATATTTGTGGAATCTTACTTAATTCAAATACTCTAGTAATTACTTCTTTTACAGTTTCAAAGTTTCTATGATTTGTGTTTTGCATATACAAGCATTCCTCTAGGGAACTATGTTTCCTTGAGCTGTTTCTTGAACAGGTCAGTGTTTTATTTTCTCACACTTCTTCAACATGTGCATTGTTTAGTTTATTTGCTTCTACGCTCATAACTTCTATGAAACTATGTTTCCATGAACTTGATCAGTGCTTTGTTGTGGTTCATAGGAGAGAAGTAAAACACTTTAAAAGTCAATATGGTGAGCTTAAGAAGGCGCAGGCTATTGGGACTTTGTTGTGGTACAAATGTTCTTGACTATGCTATATGGTCCAACATTAGTATAATGCAAAGTTGTCAACTAGTTTTCAATCGTTGTAGGACCAAAAGGTTATGTGACACCGCTTCCTTTTCTAACTGCCGAGGAGATGGTCACTGGGATTCCAAATCCTAATGGCAGAACAACTTATAATCCCGGGACAGCAGAAACTGTTATGCAACCTAAAGAGGAGGTAAGGAAAAATGAAGACTTTTATGCTTCTGATACTTGTATAATTCTACTTTAAAGCTAGTGAAAGAGCAATACCATTATTTGATGCAAGCTTTAGCAATGTGATGTTACCTCGCTGTAGCATTACTTTAGCAGTTCTGAGTTTCATATATCTAAATCCTGAAGTCAGAAAGGGGATATACAACATTTATTTGGACTTTAAGTCCTTCTTTAAGCTGCTTTAGTCGGATTCTAGTGACCAATCAAGAACATTAGATTATATTTTTCATTCTAATAATTGAGCCTCTTTTGGTTTGGTAGAAAACGCCTATCGAAGAAGGGTCGGGAAGAAATCGTTCAAAGTATAGGCATTTCAGGTCTGATTTCTCAGATAACTCACCGAATGATTATGGTTCCATCTCGCCAAAATGGGAGCAAAACGTATGTGATTCAGGTCTGATTTTTCAACTACTCCATTAATCTTGTAGCTTAGTGTCTAAGATGAGTACAGAGTTGACCAATTTTCCATGTACAGACCAGCCGCTAAAACGAAGAAAGCGGCATAGAAGAAAGCAAGTAAAAAACCAAGAACCATGTTTGATGAGAGGAGTCTATTACAAGAACATGAAATGGCAAGCGGCCATTAAAGTCGAGAAGCGCCAGATCCATTTGGGAACTTTTTCTACTCAAGAAGAGGCTGCTCGTTTATATGATAGGTAAAGAATGTTTCTACAATATTCTTGAATGTTAATTTGATTCAACTATATAACTGCCATTGACAATTGTTACATCTTCTAGGGCTGCTTTCATGTGTGGAAGGGAACCAAACTTTGAGCTCTCGGAAGAGGATAAACGAGAACTTAAACAACAAAGCTGGGAAGAGTTTTTGGCTTGCACACGCCGAACAATTACTAACAAAAGTAAGGTTTTACTACTAAATCAACCATAATGTATGTTTTTTCTGACCAACTTTTGCTTTGCTCTCTGAATATTTCAGAACCTAAGAGAAGAATGGAGCAAGAGGAGATCGACGCAGGGCGTGTTACTGACGATAAGGAGATCAATGCGAGTAATGGTACGTCGTCCTCCTGAAGAAGAAGAAGAAGATACACAAAATGTTATCATTCGTGCAAAAGATACAACCTCCCAAGAATTTGAGGCAGAGGGTAAAAGACTTCAAATACAGAGAACAATATTGAATACAGGAAACTAAAGAGAGATGTATGTTATCTTTTGCAAAAAAAAAGAGAGATGTTATAGACTTCAAGTTGATAGAATTTGGTGTAGTTATGTTTGTGTAGGAAAAAACTCATTAAAAAGGTCGGTGACTTTATATATTACGAAGATTTATCACATGTTAGAACGAAAATAAACCTACACTAGAAAAATGTTAGGATTTTAATATTTTATTAATTAACAGAGTTATTAATTTATCAGTTTTGAATAAAATAAATATATATTAATAATTAAATAAAAATAGTATTTTCTTTGAAAAGTATAATATTCTCCAAAATTTTTATTATAAAATTAAAGATAAATAATAAAAATATTGCAATTTTAATATAAAAACAATAATATACTCATATTTTAATAAATTTTCGTAATTATATATTTATATAAAATTATTTTATATAATATTTATTAATTTATGATATTAATAGGATTATATTTTACATAAGTTTTCAAAAAAAAAAATATCTTATTAATTTAACGATTTGTATTAAATTTTGAATCGATCCAACTCGGGACTGAGCAAAATTATTAATTTATCAAGTTTATTAATTTATCGAATATTAATTATAGAATTTCTACTGTATTTCTTAGAAGGTTTTTTCTAATAATAACCTAAACCAAAATAATAACTTAAGTTAATTGAGAGAGGAGAATCGTCCACTTAATGAGTTTAAAATGATAAAACTATTCTATGATAATGGAAAATTTCCATATAATGAGAGAAAAAGATATTTCCATATTTAAAATATGAAAATTATCTTCAAAAGATAAAAGAAATGGGAGTTCTCGGCGACTGAATTTCTAAGCGACCGAATTTCTAATCTTATAAATAGAAAACCTTGGACAGGTTGAAGAACAATCCAAAACCCTAAAGAGTAGAAAAACAATATATAAAGTTTCAAGCTTTCTAATTCATTACATCTCAAGTTCTTGATTTACTTCGGCAAGACCTTTAAGTCAAACTACCCTTATAATCATGATAGCCTTTAAACTATTAATAAGATTTATTTTTCTAAAACCCACAACCGTTTATTGTTTATTATTATAGTTACTATTTTGGTTCAACAATACATATGTTTAATGGTATTAGTTGCTATAATTTTAGACTGTTCTAGTTTTGTTTTATTCAAAAGATTGTACAAAATTATCTTTTAGATTATCAAATCATTAACCTCATCCAGTAATTCTGACATGTATTTCTATCTGTTAAAATAAATTATTTTGAACAAAACGTATAACTTTTGTTATTATTTTAATCGGAAAACTTCAGCTAATTAAGATCGGTACAAAGATATTGGAACATTCGACCCAAAAATACAGACTTTATTACGCATATAGGCACTTTCTCAAAATCAAATTACAGAATAGAATACTTTTAGCAATTGAGGCATTTTCACTAATTGAAAAGACCAAGCTATCCTTATTATCTTTTGTAAAGAAATTTTTACCTCTTCAACTCTTTTCCATCGACAATTTTTTTCTCTGTATCACCAGCTTCTCTCTCAAGCCAAACTAACAATTTTATACATTTCTTTTTATAATTCTTTGATTCCATCATCTCTTTCTTCCATCTCTCATCTAACTCTTGTTAAAATTCTCTCTCACAAAACTGCCATATGAGACAAAACCATTGATTTCAGGCAAAACCATTAGTCTCAGGGAAATTGAGTGATGTTTGGTTGCTTCAAAACTGCATATGACCAAACCAGATCTACTCAGATCTACGTCATGTCTACTTAATTCTACAATATATCTACTCAGATATACAAGGTAAATAGATAATTTTGAACTTTTAGTTACAATAATTCTCATTGTCGTATTACAATATATCCATTGTTGTTCATGAATAAAACTCTTCGAACCCATGTCCATACATGTTTGTCCATCTAAAAGTGTAGAGACTTTTATGTATTTGGTTACTATGAAATGAATGGACACTGACGTATGGATATGTATGATTGAATACAGGCAGAAACATGGATAAAAACGAATGAACACAGAAGCATGGATAGGAACGAGTGGATACCAAACATATCCATTGACCATCTCATTTTAATGTTTGTGTGAAGAGATGCATGGACATCAAAAAATGGACAAAGATATGTATAATAGACACATTCATGTGGCTATTTATCCATATGTAAACATACACATGACAAATATATATATAAAACTTAGTCCTGGGCATTCGGGTATTGGGGTCGGTTCCGGGTCCGACCCGATCGGTTCCGGTTCTTTCGAGTAAGAGAATTTTATACCCATATATGATTCGTGGATATTACTTTGTGAACAGTATTGTTGCATATGGTGGAGAAGACGACGATAGAACAATCTGATGGACACATACAAACACATGGACACAAACATAAAGGTTTGATATGGAGTGTACATATGGACGTTTTGATATAGACAGATGAATTGGTATAAAATAATCTGTTTTTCTGATAATTAAGCATTTTGGAATATTAATAGTTGTATTGGTTATAATCTTATGGACATACATGATCTGATGGACACGATTTCCACAACACTCTCAAATAAGCTTTTGATTGTCCATGACACTCTTATACATGTACTCATGGTAAACGGTCTCGTACATGTTTGCAGGTGGATACGAACGGGTGGACTCCAGTGCGTGGACACGAAGGCTGGACAAACCGTATGAACACATTGATTGTATATAACTTTGTTGATAGACGTTGCATCCACCATAGATTGTCCACACAATACACGCAACCGAAGCTCCAGTTCACAACTAAGAAGCTGTTTTGGGAAAGAAGCTTCAACATGTTTGTTCTTAGCTTATCCATATGATTTTGTACATACCACATTGTCAATTAACACTTATCCACACATACTTCTCCATAAATCAAAGTATTGTTTATGCTAATATGAATAATGTATTATCGACGAGTATTGCATCACTAATACAATGGACACAATACAGTGTACATGTTTGATAGAGAGGTTTTTGATCTCTTTCTCAATCACCCTGTATTTGAATCAGTTGTAGTATAGGGGTTTTATGTTAATCCATGGGGAGTTGTTGAATAGCAAAAGAGTTGCAAGCAGAAGTCCTGAAGTCAAGCAAGCAAAGAGGGTTTTTATTGCCTAAGAAACTTAACTAACAACCTAAAGTGATCAATGACCAAAAAGAACTCAAAAGAGACACTCTAGCAATGATCAAAGAAACAAAACAGAGTAAATAAACAGAGCACTTAGCAAATTCGAAATTCAATCAAAGAGAAAGCAAGTTCCTAGATGTGGTTATTGATTTTGGGGAATTTAGAGACTAACTAAGGTTGTTTCAAACAGCATTGATCAAGCAAACAAGCTAGCAATGGTGGTTCCTAGACATAGAGTTCACAAACAAGCAAGCTAAGTCCAATCTCTTGATAAATAGTCCTTTGCTAAACACCTTAACAAGAAATAACTCTCATTAGTGCTAAAACATTCAACAAGCATTAATAATCAACTCTATTCATGTCAAAATGCTCCTCAAACAGTCAATCTCTTGAGCCAAGGCCAGCAAATCCTCTATCAAACAAGATCAGCATTTCATCAAACACTTGGTGGGCATAAGAGAAAGCTCAAATCCTAGATAAGTGTGTTCAAGACAAATCTAGCTTAAGAACAGATCAATAGAGAGGAACCCATGTTATTAAGTACTAAATAAACCTTAATCAATCATTAAATCCCCTTAATCTACCACATCTAAGAACCCTAAGCAAACTACTCACTAATACTCATGTTTAACACTAAATTACAAGAGGAAAAGATGCTAATCATGATTAAAAGAAAGATTAAAGAAAGATTAATGGCAAATACAAATTTATATTATATAAAGCAAGAAATTTGTCTTACAAACTCAGAAAAATGCAAAATCAAAGCACAACATCTTAAACTAAACAAATTTTGTTCTTAAAACCAAAGAAGTGATAACTTTAAACACATGCATTCATTAAGAACAAAAGATGAGCAGTTGAGCAAACCTTAGTGAAGCTTCTGAGCACTTAGAAAAGATAAATAGAAGAAAGAGAGAGCTAAAAATTTTGGACTTTGGTGAGAGAAGTAGTAAAATAAAGTGTGAAGAGAAGAGAAGAGAAGAGATTGTTGGTTTTCAAAGAGGTGGGTGGGGAACAAAGGGAATCTAAAGAGTGGGGGACAAGAACAAAAGTGCTCAGGAGCTCTGCAAAATGTCAGGAAGGAGCCAAAATTCAAATTCAAACCTCTTTGGCTCTAAGCCAAAAGAGGGAATTTTTATTGAAAAATGGAACACTTACCTCGCGGGGCTATCAGTCACATTGTGACCGATAGGGTGACCGATAGCTTCCTGTTGAACCCTATCGGTCTCTATCTGATCGATACACTGACCGAAATACATCCGATTGCTTTGCATCGGTCACTCTCCAGACCGATAGAGTGACCAAAATACAACCGATGTATTTCCATCGGTCAGTATCTGATCGATAGCTAGACCGATAGAATTCACACTTAGCAAACTCCTTTCCCTATCTATCACAACTGATCGATAGGTTGACTGGTGCATTCTGGCTCTACTACTATCGATCACAAGCTGATCGATAGCATGACCGATAGGGTCTGTAACAGTCTAGTCTTGACCGATACGGTGATCGATAGTAGCCAAAATGCACCTGTTCTTTGTCCTTTAAACACTTTCTCAATCCCCAAACTGAATCCCTGCTTCTATACACATCAACTAAGCATAAAAATAAACTAGAAAGCATAATATATACAAAGGATACCATGGAACTACCTTCCAAGTGTGCTGGTTTAAAGTCAATAAGCTTGACTTTGCTTACCTCACTAGTGAGAAGAGGTTGATGGAGCTGGTGCTCCTACCTCTTTCTCCTGGTAGACCCAAGTGCCCACTGACATCAGCTTCTTTTTCTCACGAGCTGACTTCCTGTTCCTCTTCTTTTTGACACTTGGTGTGATCAAAGGCTTCACTCCCTTGGTGATCAAGCTTTCATCCTTATTCAAACCATCTTCAAGTTTCAACCCAGTGTCCAGCTTATGTTCTGGCTCTCCAAGGAGAGTGTCACTCATCAACATACTCATTGTGAAGTTCATAGCATGTGTCACACGCTCTGGAAGTTGTTGTTGCTCACTCTTCTCCTCAATGATCATTCCACAAAAGACTATGGAAAGAGAGACAATCTTGTAGACCTTGTACTCATCAACATTTTTTAGAATAACACAACCTCTC